GACTGGAACCAGAAATTTACTAGTGAAACCGACGCGCACTACATTTATCCAGAACTGCAGCAAGCACATCATTTTCAACGCGTGGTGCCGCAGACCTCACTCCAAGCGAGCCGAGGGGCTAGGCGTCGGAGTGTTCCAGTTAAAGGTGCTGACGAATGTTCTGTAGCACTGGTTTCGTTCACTTTTTTTGCGTTTTTTATTTCTTAAGATAAATACTTCTAAATTTTCATAATGCTTGCGTCACCCCGAAGGAACGGCTGCGCGTACATTTGCTGGTCTTGGAGATGGTCGCAGTTCTAAGGCACTGGTGCTGTACGCGATTGACGCTCGCGTGATTTAGTAGAAAAAAAAAACGGAGGCTCTATACCTGCATATACCTATACTTTGCAAAAAACAAACACCGTACATCACAGGCCCAAAAAGAGTGATTCACGTCCTTTCCAGACGATTTCCCTCAGCATACTGCCGCGACACGTTTTGATACGTAGTCGTTTCATAGTTTTTTTTTTGGTGGCACAGCAGTCGCCATGCACTCTGTTTATTTTTTCGTCATTTGAAGGGAAGTTCCGCAGCTGCAAAACACGTACGCCTCGAGGAGCGAAGACAATAGCTGCTTTAAGGTAGCCTCGCTGTATCGTAGTATCCTATTATTGTATGGCGCTGTAGTTTGGCGTAACAAAGGCGAAACCACGAATAACATAGCCATTTTTAGCACTGAGCACGCTCTTGTGCCACGGAGCACTTCAATGACCCGGACTGAAGTGTGCTGTTGTCGCTTGGCGTAAAGCTGGTGAAGCTACGTATCAAAGAAAGCAAGCGAGAACTAGAAAGAAGGGTAATCAAAATCTAATTTCTTGAGCGCTCAGACCTGTTTCGAATTAGTCGCAATTGACTGTAGAAAAGATCATATGACCTCGCAATTCTCAAAACATAAGCTATACAGCTGCCCATTCTTCAAACCTGACCGCGAGCGCCGAACGCTGTGTAGTAGCACCGTATAAAGCACAGTGGTCGAATGAATGAGAACACGCACATCCAGGCAATAAACGGTGCTAAACAGTTCTTTTTGGCCACTGTTTTGGACACCGCGACGTCAGGAAGCGGCACTTGTTGGCTTGGCGGTCGACGCTCATGCATGCAGCTTTAAAAGAAAAGTGCAACTGTACAGGCTGTTTCCTACTTGAGGGAAATCTCTAAGCGCGTGGCATCGTGATGCAGCCAGCGCTGCAATCATACGCCTTCAGCAGCTCGCGCGTGTACAGATAATTTAGGAGTGTAGTTTTGAACTGCGTCGTCTGCTATGGCGGCTCTTGCTTGCTGCATTGCTGGCCAGCACGTGGATATGATTGTTAGGGGAGGAACTGGGTCGATAATCAGCACTAAAGGTTGCGCGACACCAACCTCTCGCCTTTTATTTGTGATAATGGGGTGCTACAAGCAGAATTTGACCGCATATATACTTTGTTTGCTCTCTCGAAGTGCCGTAGGGCTGTAGTGTCGTACTGTGTGTGGAACGCCATGTTACGGTGCGTGCACCGCAGTACACTTGGACGAGGAAGACGCGACAATTAGTACGTAATATGCGTTGTCTCGAATTCCACGCACTCCAGTGCGCGGAATCGAACGTGGGAGCTTCGCGTCGTGAATGCGAGGCATTACCGCCGAGCCACCGTGGGGTAACTCCTTGAATGTTCAAACGACAAGCTACCAGTTATCGCTGTTGGCGGGCATCTCAGCGGGACCTATCGTGTTTTCAGTATTGTCAGCAAGATGGCGCAGTGGGCGCGCGGCGGTTCTCAACTCTCACCTGTACTTTGGCCCGCGTAGAGAATCGGATGGTGTACGCTCGATCGCGCGCACTTATCTTGCAGTGGGGAGGATCGTACGTCACGTACGTATTATGTTGTAGTTACCGGGTGCACAAAGGTCACTGGAATCATTGCACATCCTCCGTTTGCGAAAAGGGCGCGCTTTCAAACAGGGCGAAGTAACAGCATAGACGCTTATTTGTGTTCATCTGTACCTGTGAGCACGTTTCGTGTCATTTGTGCGTTAAAAAAGCGGGGCACGTTTCGATCTGCTTGCCATTCTGCGTGTGACCTTTCAATTTGTTGCAATCGCATTCATTGCTTCGCCTTTGCGGCAAAACTGTTATTTATTTTTTTACAGCATAGTTCAATACTTTCAAGTCACTCTCTTTCTGCTATGCGGGACACGGTAACACGGTAAACCTGGCAAACAGCGCAGTACTGCTCTTTTAAGACGAAAAATAAAATGGAAAAACGTACGGAAGACGAGCGCCAGTATAATTCAGCTCAATCTGGATGTTGTGATGCCACGACCCCCATTATGATTGAACGGGGCATACAGTGGTGGAACACGTCGCTGAAACTATTCATTCACTGCTATCTAGCATCAGCGCTATCATCGCTACCACTTGGGACGTGACCTTGGAAGCGTCACAAGTAGATTTCGGCACCGAAAGCTAGTTCTTTTTGTTGCGATCAAATATCGTGAAGAATGAGTGCGTTAGGATGATTGTTATATCATGAATCGGTCCTGTATTCTTTCCAATTTTTGTTGTGTTAAGCCTGCTCAGCTGCACCACCAAGTGTTTTGTTTAATTTAGAGTTAAATAGACGGAACGCATAGTGCATGCTCATTATCCTGTTTTACTCATCCAAGCTTACTGCAGCGCGCACACAATGAAGAAACATTTGTGAAAGCACATATTGCCACAATTTTTTGACAGAGAAAACAAGGTAAGCTGTTACATACTGTTCCTAGTGTCCCATTATCACTAATAAAGGCAAAACGGTTGGCATTGTATAACGTTTATTGCAGACAAGCTTTGAAAGTTCGGCAAGTTAGTGCGGGAACATCTAAAAAAAAAAACTGCGCAGCAAGAAGGAACACGAAGAAAAAAACAAGCACGCCCGAGTTTGTCGTTCCTTATTTGTTGGCCTCTCATCTTGCTGCACATTTTTCTGAAGATGATTAGTGTGGTGTATCGGCCGAGTTCCCGCATTATCAATGATATCCGTGCACTGGCCTACGATGCAGCACGCGCCTTGCTGTAGCAGACGACGCAGTTCGACTACACTCTAGAAGCGCGGTACAACTTGATGCCAGGCACTCCAAGATTTTCCCTAAGTATGAAACAGCCTGCACATCGCCAGCCAATTGCAAGGCTACCTTTGCGTCGCAATAATTCATAATGCCGTAACAGTATTCGGGGTCATCTGGTTGAAGGAATTGTTGACGTTTTATCATGAGAATGAGCACGTCAATCGGACTACGTTGCAACCTAAATGAAGTCGACAACCTCTACAGCTGGGCAGTTGGAAGGAAATTTTTCATAACACATTAGGTTGTTCAATTTCAGTTTTTCGTTAGACATCACTGGGTCAGATGCCGGGAAAAATGTTTACTTATCGACAAAAAAATGCCAATGCTTGTCTACTGTTGTTTCTATATACCATACAAACAGGAGGCGACATTTTCCGCTATTGGAAGAGCACTAAATGTGGCAATACTGCGATGACACCCCCAAGCGAAAGTGCTTAGGATGACGAGTGCGATGGCAGTTTCTTCCACCTTCTACAGCAGATATCGTTTACCACAATGCTCAAGATCCGCCTCTCTCCAATCATCACACAATTGACGTTTGGCTTTTTGTTCCGTTTTTCTGCAGTACTTATCCTGCAGGGCCCTAATTTTAGTTCCCGTCTTGCGTCATATCCACCTGGCCACCTCTTTCTTGGAATTCGCGCCGCTACCAAGGCACTACAAATAGCCTGCTGCAATGAAGCCTTTACAGCTGGTTCTATGAAAGGGCGCAACCACATGTTGTCAAAGACTTGACTACCCATCGAAGTGTGGGATAAATGGGCCTGCCCTGCAACACTTAAGTTTCAGTAATCTCTTCAGGAGTTTATCAGAACATAAGATCCTTAAGAATATTGTTGATTGAATATTCCGTGCAACGAAGATCGTTGACAACGACCGCAACATAATATGCCTTAGCTCGCGTTTGTCCCTGCCCGCTCGGGGGACCTCGAAAATGAGGAGGCGCATCATGTCTATCAAACCGAGAGATGTGCCTCTCGAGCCCACTTTCCACGAAGGAGGCACCGACTTTTTGTGACGCAGTCCACATTTTCTATACACACGAATGAATCCTCTACCTTGTACCAGATCAGTCACGAGGTCACAGGCTATAGATTTTCTTGCCGCAGTCAAACGAACTTTCACCAGTCTTCATATAGGCTGGGAATAATCGCGGAGTATTGAGTTTTAAGCGTCGACATCGTAGTCTAAAGTAAGTATCCACCAATGACCACATCTTGTGGGGATGTAGGAGTTTCTCTCTTCCCGAAGTGTCCTGCCATATGCTCCAATGCTGTCCATGGGCGTACTCAAGAGCTCCCGAACTTGAGAAACAGTAGGCTATCTGTTATCGGACTGATCGTTTCGAGTATGGAGCAACCTGCTTGCTAAAGACATTCCACCTGTATTCAAGTAAATCTGATGCCACCACTACTGCGACGATCGGCGCGCACAGGATTCCCAACTGACGGGTGTGAGGCGTGGGCGTGATTATATATATATATATATATATATATATATATATATATATATATATATATATATATATAATTATGTGTGTGTGTGTATTATAATCCTTTAATCCTTTGAACTGAATGTATAGTCATATTTACATCTGTTTCCTCCTTGTTGGTTATTTAGTTAGCTGGTTCATGTCCCTTTGTTAAATCTTGCTCCATGAAATGAACCTGTGTATTCCCCCCCTTCCGATAGTGCTACGTACTCTCGGTGATTTGTCATCTCAAACTTTTTCAGCACGCTTTGTCAATCAACGTTTCTCTTGCTCACATGACATGATTTCGCTTCTCTACCTTGTACGATGCTTGTTTTAACATTTGGCCTTTGTCATTAAACCTGTCCCTTATGTGTGTTCATTTTTTCTTTTTTTCAAGGCGCATTGCTGGAATGAGGCGCAAGGATGCGACTTTGTGGGCTCCGTGGAAACTCTGCTCAAGCATTACGAGCATGACTGCACGTATCACGTTGTGGAATGTTTGAAGTGCGCTCAGGCGGTCCTTCACAAAGACTTAAGTAAGCACCATGAGAACGGCTGTGGCGGCTGTGCTTCGCAATCGGCCGAGGAGAGTTCACCCTCGGAGTCTGCAGCAGGGACGCCTAAAGACACGTTGGAAGACCCGGGGATGCTGTTGCAGGATCCTTGTTGCGGACTGCCCGCCATCATGACACTGATGAGTAAGGTTGTACAACGCGCCAAGGAACATGAAGTCTTGGTGAGCACCTGTACAAATGACTTCAGAGCTTCAATGCTGAAATTGAAGACAGATATGGCTCAAATGTCTAAGTTAACCACTGCAACACCATCGCATTCGAACGAACTTGGGGTATATCTGTCAGAATTAGATAACACACTCGTGTTCCGAAAGTTGGAGCATTTTGCGCACTCATCTCTCAAGCAGCTGGAACTCATGCGACAGATTGTCAGTCAACCTGCAGGTCACCGGTCGGTGATCGTGAACTGTGAGCCCATTGTGAATTCTATGGACGAGTGCCGCCGCTTAAGCAATGCACTATCTATAGAAGATGGCTTGAGCAAAGAAATTTTGAAGCAAATCTACTCACTTTGCTTCGAAAATGCCGAAGAACTTTTTTCGTGTGCGCCGGTACCGAAGAAGCTTGCTGATGTGACTATACCATTTACGAGGGACACATATTTCACGATTGTCGTCTCGAAACGCACCACATCTGTCAAGGATACAGGCACGCTGTACTTAGATATTCAGTTCAACGGACTACTCGAGGAATCTCGGTGCATATTGAGTAACTGGACCGTGAGAGTTAAACATCCCAATAGCTTGGACCTCGATCTCGAAGGTCCTAAGGAAAGTTACTGCAACTGTATGCGAGTTTTGGAGAAATATGAGCACTTCCACCGTGGTTTTTCTGTAAAGCTAGATGATGTGAGGTCTGGTGGGTTCCTCAGAAACGGCTGTTTGACGCTGGAGATTAAGTTTGACGAGCCTTCATCCCTCAATACGTTTGAATAACTAAACGTGATTGTCGATGCAAGATATTCTTTGCTGTCACATTCGTTGATGATGCCCCACCTTTGGGTGTCTGTACAGTTTTACTTTTCTATCAACTCTGACTAACACGTTTCTTTTTTCTGTTTGTTGTAACACTTTTTTTTCGAATCTCGAGTTGTTCTGATACTTGTATTGTTTGTCTTGACAGGGAACGTTGCCTTTGTGTAGATGTTACCCTGAGGACACTCCAACTCTCGGCTTATTAAAATACTGCTGCTTGATTTGTACACTGCGGTGCGTATGGCGTTTTGTCTGAATATCAAATTTCCATTCACTGAGGTTTTCGGCCCTATTGTTAAATAGCCCCTTCTAACAAGGCTGGCCGAATAAATGCATGCACTAGATACTCATGGAGGCACTGTGGACTGCGCAAATATTGAGAACCAACTCTGTTTCGCACCAATATCGGAAAGAGTAATATGTAAAATGACAAATTTATGCAATTCGACGGAACCTTCCTTATATGCATGTTTCGATATGCATGTCTGTACAACTATGCACATTCCGATAGCTTTTGCTAATCTACGATTGCCTTTTAGTACGTGTAGTGTGGAAGGAGTGGCATATGCGGTTCTCGTTTGTTGAAAGTGGATGACTCAAAAGAGAATCCGGCACTAAAACGAACGGCCACAGAAAGAATTGCGTAACATTGTAACAACAGCACCGAGCACACACGTAGGTTGGCGATCAAGCATTCATTAAAGCCTTTGGGAGGGAGGGAGGGAGGGAGGGAGGGAGGGAGGGAGGGAGAGGGTTACTTTTGTTACAGATGCGCACGATATTATCGCAACAATCTAATTCCCTTCGGAGGGAGGGGTTTCACAACTGGCGTGGCCTGTGCCTATGGGGACACGTTTACCAGTACCTGTAATTAAATTCCGCTTGAATAACATAAACGTAAAACAAACAGAACATGAAAGTTAGAATATTGTCCAATAGTTCAGCAGCTGGCATAGTAATGTTTAAAGCGCACTATAGTTGTAGGATCTTGTGTTTTGCGTAGCCCCTCTGTGATTGAGCCAGCACATCGCGCACAACTCCTGTCCATGGGGCACGCCAACGTCGGTTGTTCTTGCAAGGCCCCGATAATAGTCGTATAGCACCTTCACGCTTGCGTCAGCATCCAGGTCAAACTATAGTCGCCCTAATATAAATGACTTCTTCGTAATCGAAGTGAAGGTGGTTGATCTGCTGCTGCGTCTTGGGGTGCTCATTGCGGGCTGTCTGGCTGCTTTACACCGATGCTGGTAGGCAGCGACGTCAAGGTTTTGTTCGCCTTTGACATTTGGTAGCATAAATACAAATGTTTCCGGGTTCCCTCCGAAAACCACCTTTGATGGCGTTTGTAATGGCGTTTGTTGTTTGATGGCGTTTGATGGCGGTTGTAATAACTCTTGCGTATGGAAGGTTAGCGTGCGAACTTGTGCTCACTACAAGGCTGATTTCTCCACAAGCGCCCTCTTTATGCGCTTCTATCATTATTCTGCGGTTGGTGCGCACTTCATTGGGCACTTCACATGCGCCGACTTGTCTGACCATGCTGAATAATTCGGCAAGTTCCGCTGTGAACGCCCATTCCATGAAGGCATGCCTCTAACGCACCTTGTGGTATAATGGTCTGACAAAAAACTTCTGCATTTCTGCCATAGTAATATTGAGTATGGCGTTTTATTTCAGCATACTCTTAAAAAAAAAGGTAGTAGTACTTGATAACTTTGGGGTAATAACGCTTTTACACATGTTACAATCCTGGTAGTGTGTGTAGTAACGGCGATTGGTAAGTTGCTGCCTTTGCCGTTACTACTAGCACTTAGTAACCGTTACTGTCCAAGCCGTTACTCATCATTGGTAGTAATTTTCAAAGGTTTCAAGAAAAAGCTATACCACCAGTACTACCATGTTCATTTTGCCATAATTTTCTGCATTCTTAATACTCGTCATTGAATGCATCCTTACTAAACAACGTCGGGTAATCGCGTGGTGCACGCAAACCTAGCAAGTACACTACGCTAGTGCTGAGTAAGCAACTACCACAGTTGCCGACTACATTGCCCCTACATGAAAAATGTATGTTTGGCAGAGTCACGCACTTGTTTCAGGATGAATTATAAAATTGTGAGCCTAGAAAATTATACCGCACCACTTGGTTACGTGTTTCCGGATTGAGCAGAAGATTTTCAATCAGGCGTACTTATAAAAAGTGGTATATGCCGTAACAATGTATTCAAAAAGGCCACAAGAAAGCAGTCTACATGACAGCCGAAGCAAAGTGTCGAACTTCTTAACACAGTCTCGGTGCATTTGAACGTTTCACAGTGCTAATATATCGGCGGTTAAAAGGTAACAATTGTTTTGGGGGTTTCACGTGCCAAAACCAAGGTATTGTAACAAGCGCCGTAGCTATGGTTTCCGGAATAATTGTGAACATCCGAATATTTTGATCCGCTTGTCTTGTCAGTTTGCTGTAAGTTACAAAGTTTGTTGTAATTGTCTATTACAGTACGTGAAGCTTTTGCTTATTGTTCATTACCTTTTACTTTTTCGATTCGACAAGAACACAATGACGCTTACATATCTCGATTCCGTAATTTAAAACGAACGTTTTTTTTCTTGGATATCTTCTGCGTTATTTTTTCGTTTAAAGATAATACGTCCCTCGAGACCATTCCTCTTACAAGTTATTACAATAGGTATTATTTATTATTTTAGATTAGGTATTGAATGGCCGGGCGCCACAACGTTGGTACAGTCTGCAGGTTCGAATCCGCAGTAAGTTCTCGGGTTCGAGTCCCGGCTGTGGCGGCTGCATTCCCGATGGAGGCAGAAATGTTTTAGGCCCGTGTGCTCAGATTTGGGTGCACGTTAACGAACCCCAGGTGGTTGAAATTTCTGGAGCCCTCCACTACAGCGTCTCTTAAACATATGGTGGCTTTTGAACGTTAAACTTTACAAATAAATCAATCATTTACTACTTCTTTCATTTCATTTACTGTGTAATAATGTAGGTAGTAAACAGGTAGTACAAAGCTAGTAAGGATTGCGGATACTAACTCTACACTATTATAGGTATAAACAACTCGCTAAAGGTTAGCCGCCAGAGGAAGCTATACACGCTGCAGATGCTACCTATTTGCTTGCAGTTGCTATCTTTGATTGACATGTGTGGTTTAACGTACCAAAAGCACCATATCATTATGAGACGCTGTAGTAGAGGGCTCGGGAAGTTTTGACCACCTGGAGCTCTTTTACATGCACCTAAGTCTGAGCACACGGGCTTACATCATTTCCGCCTCCATCAGAAATACAGCCGTCGCTGCCGGAATTCGATCCCGTGACCTGGGGGTCTGCAGCTGAGTACCTTAGCCACTAGACCACCGCCGCGGTGGGGCCTTTCTACTAAGTTTGTTAATAGTGTACTGGAAGAGATATTGTGCTGCTGTTACATACCCTTTACCAGCATTGGCAAAGGTCCCAAGAAAAATATTCTGATTTTATCTAAGTGTAAGTAACGTGGTTAGGCGTGATACGAATTCCTCTACCTTTGTCTGCATGTGTCTTGCGTCACGCTTAGAGTACCGGTGTATCTTTGATGTCAGCATTATAAGGCACGACCAATAATTGGCACTACCAATGTGACCAGCAGTGTAGTCGGTATGCTTGAAGACATCTTTCTGGATGTAATTTTGAAGACACGACGAGATGGTAGGTGGGGCGATATATTTAAATGTTTTCTGCGGGCACAATTTGTAAACACAACTGATAAATTGACGTTTGAACACTCGCCGGACAAAATTCGTTTTGCTTTGGAAGTATACCTAAGAAGGCTTATACCTATGAGTCGCTTCACTGAGGCTTGGTGAAGTCTTGAGCATTTATAATTCTGAGGATAGCGTATTCATCCCACTCATCTTTGGTCGCTGGTCGAAATGTGTGTGGGGCCCCGCCGTGGTGGTTTAGTGGCTAAGGTACTCGGCTGCAGACCCGCATGTCGCGGGATTGAATCCCAGCTGTGGCGGCTGCATTTCCGATGGAGGCGGAAATGCTGTAGGCCCGTGTGGTCAGATTTGGGTGCACGTTAAAGAACCGCAGGAGGTCAAAAGTTTCGGAGTTTTCTACTTCAGCGTCTCTATAATATCGTGGTTTTGGGACGTTAAACCCCACTTACCAATTTAATGTGCGTGGGACAAGCAGTCGGCACGAGGCTTCAGTCTGGACTCTCAGACCGCAAGGATAGCGAATTCTTGATTTTGTGACTCTAAATTCGTGATTATCGGGAACGATCGTCTGCGTTCATATTAAAAACCCAAGTGTGGTGGTGTGTCAGAATTACGAAAAGCATCTTGTTTAGGCAGTGGTGAAACCTCGAAGTACCCCAACAATGGCAAGGTCTTCCTTTTTTCTAATAGAATAGTTGGCTTGAGCTTTTGATACCAGGGGTATGTGGCACAAGAAGCATCACGGGAAAGAGGGTAGTCAAGCAGAATATGTGTATGACAAGTGCTTCGATGTAGTGATAATTGTGTGAGGTTAACCAAATGTGGATAGTGGATATAATAGTAAGGAGAATGAAACTCAACAAAAATATGCATTGACGCTTCAAGGCCCAACATCGGCTCACGTAACCTTTTATGAAGTCGAAGCGACGTATAGATTACACATAGCTAGATATAAACAAAGAATCGATTCAGAACGTAGAATTAATTTAGAGATTTTTTTTTTCATGACAGCATATGCTTTCTACTGTGGTTTTCTTAGTGTAACACCGCATTGAAACTTCGTTCACTAAGCTATAACCTTAACTAGAGGAAAGCTTTGCGCGTGTATTCCCCGTAATATTAAAAAACATTTATTAGTGTAAAACCGCAAAAGTAGCCTAGAGGCTATAGGCTTATGACCATGCTTCGCTGACCCTCAGGTTGCAGGATTGAATCCCAGCCGCCACGATCACGTTTTGAATGGAGGCGCAAATCCTCGAGGCCCGTCGTTCCAAGTCATGAATTATTACAATCAACTATAAGTGCAACCACATGTTCCTTGGGGTCACCATTTTGAAGTGTAGTTACCTTGTATGTGCGTTAAGAGCAATGTTTCGAGAACTTGAAGAATTGGAATGTGGGTGCTTGAGGACCTCACTCTTCGTTGTCCCGTTGTATTACGACTGACGTTATTTTCCAAAGCAAACTCCACCATGCCAAATGGTGCAATGGAAACTTATGGTTAAGGTTTCAAGATTA